TGACTCCCTCCGCCTCCCTCCATCTTCCCTCCTGTGAACCTGCCCTTCCCTCCCTTTACTCTGTCTCCTCTCCATCGCTCAGCACAGCCCGGAGACACATTCCTTCCGCCCTGTCTGCCCCAACGGGGACCGTTCCCATGCTCTCAACGCTCACATCCTGAAGATTCCATCAAAATTCTATTAGAACTGGTAAATGAATTTAGTAAACTTACAGGATAAAAAATTAATATTCAGAAATCCATAGCAATTTTATGTACCAATCATGAAACATCAGAAAAGAAATTAAGAAAACATCCCATTTACAATTGCATCAAAAATACCTACCAGTAAATTTAACCAAAGAGGTAAAACGTCTGAACTCTGAAAATAATAAGACACTGAAGAAAGAAATTGAAGAGGAAGCAAATAAATGAAAGTATATACTGTTTCTTATGGATAGGAACAATTAATGTAAAAAATGTCCATAGTACCAAAGGGAATATATAGATTCTACACAATCAATATCAAAATACCAATGGCATTTACCATAGAACTGGAACAAATAATCCAAAAATTTATATGGAAATACAAAGACCCCATGTAGCCACAGCAATCTTGAGAAAGAAGAACAAAGTTGGAGGTATCATGCTACCATTGATAAAACTATTCTACAAGCCCACAGTAATCAAAACAACATGGTACTGGCATAAGATGTATAGATCAATGGAACAGAATAACCCAGAAACAAACTCACACCTATACGGGCCATTAATCTATGGCAAAGGAGGGAAGAACATACAATGGGATAAGCACAGTCTAGTCCAGTGATGGCGAACCTTTTCAGCTTGGGTGTCAGCATTTTGGAAAACCCTAACTTAACTATGGTACTGTGTCACATATAGAAATTTTTTGATATTTGCGACCATAGTAAAACAAAAGATTTATTTTTTGATAGTTATTTTATATATTTAAATGCCATTTAACAAAGAAAAATCAACGAAAAAAATGAGTTCGCCTGTCACCCCTGACTTTTTGCATTGGATATACAACTCCTCCATAGGTTCGCCATCACTCTAGTCAATAAATGGTGCTGGGAAAACTGGACAAATACATGCAAAAATGATACTAGACCATTTTCTTACACTATATATCAGAATAAACTCAAAACTGATTAAAGAGTTAAATATAAGATGCAAAACCATAAAACTCCTAGAAGAAAGATAGGCAGTAAACTTTTTGACATTGTTCTTAATTATATATATACACTAGAGTCCCAGTGCATGAATTCATGCATGGGTGGGGTCCAGCCAACCTGCCCCAATCGGGCTAATTGGGGCTGGACCAGCCCAGGGGAGGGAACATGAGAGGTTGACTGGTCAGCAACACCCCTGATATGGCCTGTTGGCCAGCCACAGTGCATGTCATAGCAACTGGTCATTTCAGTCACTTGGTTTATATATCTATACTAATAAAAGAGAAACATGCAAATTGGTGTCACTCTGCTATGCCCACCAGCCAATCAGGATGAGTATGCAAATTAACCCAACAAAGATGGTGGTTAATTTGCATAAGCCAGTGGGAGAAAGATCAATATCATATGATCTCACTCATATGTGAAAAATAACTAAGACCATAAAGTGATGAAAAAATAGACCTAGAGACATAGAGACATGGAACACTGGCAACCCTCAGAGGGAAAGCAGGAGAGCGTGGGGGGATGAAGAATTCAACCACTGAACTCATGTGCGTATATGCATAACCCATGGACACAGACAGTGGGGTGGTGAAGGCTTCGTGGGTAAGAAGCTGGGAGAGGGCACTAGGGGTAATAAAAGGAACATATATAATAATTTCAGCAATAAAAAGAAAAGTAAAAAGCCAGCTCTAACCGGTTTGGCTCTGTGGATTGAGCATTGGCCTGTAGATTGAAGGGTCCCAAGTTTGATTCTGGTCAAGGGCATATGCCCAGGTTATGGGCTCAATCCCTAGTAGGGGGTGTGCAGGAGG